CACACACACACATATATACATGAGATATTTAAAAAAATAGGTTTTATATATCTTAAACACAGATAAAAAAAATTACTGCTAATATAGTCAAAGAAATAAAGCATAACAGTCTGTGTACATACACACACACACGCAACAGTAGAGAGAGAAAGAGAAAACAATGGAAAAAAGCAGATGTGGTGTGGAGGCTGCCGGTGGCGCGTCGGAGGTGAATCATGGAGGTTGGTAGTTGGAGGTGACCACTAGAGTGCGGGGAGGTAGAGGAAATGGACGACTAGTTTGAGAAAATATAGAAAGGATTTTGGGACATATATGGGGTATATGTGTAATAATACATCTTGATTGAGGGTAAAAACTAAAGTCAGTTTTTAAAAGCCACATACTGTAATGTTTGGCTATACACCTGGCAAAAACAGATTTTAACTTTATCTATTGCAAAAAACACTTTGCATTTTACCTGATTGGTTGTAAAGTGCTTTTGAAAAGTAAAAACCCTACCCAAAAACTGTGCTAAATGGAGCCTAAATAACATGAAATGCGAAAATTGTTTTGGAGTTGCTCTGATGCTGGAAAGACTTATATGTACCTTACGGATGCTCTCAAGCTCACGATACTGTGACTCTGCCTCTTCAATATCAGGGAGGACCTTTTTGTTCATTATATTCTCATAATGGGCTTTCTCCTGACAAAGAGCTTACATTTTTAGTACTCTAAAACTTATGTAAGCAAAACCAGAGACCAAAAAAGAAAAATAACAAATATGTAACTAAAAAAAATAGATGAGGAAAGGAAGAAAACATTTTCTGCAGAAAGAAGATCGTCCTCCATCTTCTTTAATTCATTTTCTGCTTCCTCAAAAGCATCGATTTCCTTCTTTGTGGATTCTACAGTTATTATAACGCATTGAGTAAATATAAAATTTTATACAGAAATGTGAAATTAACTCATGTCAAGATGGTTAAAGGCACTTCCAAAATACCACGTAAATTTGTCAGTGACAATTTAAGTTCTTCAACCTTTGCATTTGCTTCATTCATCCTGGCTCTGAGCTTTTCCAGAAGACTTTCTTTCTCCTGGATCTCCTCTCGAGCTCTCTATAAAATATAACACAAGAACATATGATTTAAAAAAGCAAACACTATTTACCCCAAGTCCAGCCAAATTTT